ACTGCTGACCTGACACCATCATTGACACCCTCCATAAGGAGGGAAAGCCTCAAAAGGTAATTGCAGAAGAAGTTGGATGTTCCCAAAGTGCTGTATCAAAGCACATTAATAGAAAGTTATGTGGAAGGGAAAAGTGTGGAAGAAAAAGGTGCACAAACAGCAGGGATGACCGCAGCCTGGAGAGGATTGTCAAGAAAAGGCCATTCAAAAGTGTTGGGGACTTTTACAATGAGTGGACTGAGGCTGGAGTCAGTGCATCAAGAGCCACCACACACAGACGGATCCTGGACATGGGTTTCAAATGTCGTATTCCTCTTTTCAAGCCGCTCCTGAACAACAAACAACGTCAGAAGCGTCTTACCTGGGATAAACAAAAACAGACCTGGTGTGTTGCTCAGTGGTCCAAAGTCCTCTTTTCTGATAAGAGCAACTTTTGCATCTCATTTGGAAACCAAAGACCCCGAGTATGGAGGAAGAATGGAGAGGACCAAGGACCCCGAGTATGGAGGAAGAATGGAAAGACCCAAGGACCCCGAGTATGGAGGAAGAATGGAGAGGCCCAAGGACCCTGAGTATGGAGGAAGAATGGAAAGGCCCAAGGACCCTGAGTATGGAGGAAGAATGGAGAGGCACAAGGACCCTGAGTGTGGAGGAAGAATGGAGAGGACCAAGGACCCCGAGTATGGAGGAAGAATGGAGAGGCCCAAGGACCCCGAGTATGGAGGAAGAATGGAAAGACCCAAGGACCCCGAGTATGGAGGAAGAATGGGAGAGGCCCAAGGACCCCGAGTATGGAGGAAGAATGGAAAGGCCCAAGGACCCCGAGTATGGAGGAAGAATGGAGAGGCCCAAGGACCCCGAGTGTGGAGGAAGAATGGAGAGGCACAAGGACCCCGAGTATTGAGGAAGAATGGAGAGGCCCAAGGACCCCGAGTATGGAGGAAGAATGGAGAGGCACAAGGACCCCGAGTATGGAGGAAGAATGGAGAGGCACAAGGACCCCGAGTATGGAGGAAGAATGGAGAGGCCCAAGGACCCCGAGAATGGAGGAAGAATGGAGAGGCCCAAGGACCCCGAGTATGGAGGAAGAATGGAGAGGTCCAAGGACCCCGAGTATGGAGGAAGAATGGAGAGGCACAAGGACCCCGAGTATGGAGGAAGAATGGAGAGGCCCAAGGACCCCGAGTATGGAGGAAGAATGGAGAGGCACAAGGACCCCGAGTATGGAGGAGGAATGGAGAGGCACAAGGACCCCGAGTATGGAGGAAGAATGGAGAGGCACAAGGACCCCGAGTATGGAGGAAGAATGGAGAGGCACACACTGCAAGATGCTTGAAGTCCAGTGTGAAGTTTCCACAGTCTGTGTTGATTTGGGGAGCCATGTCATCTGCTGGTGTTGGTCCTCTGTGCTTCATTAAGTCCAGGGTCAACGCAGCCGTCTACCAGGAGATTTTGGAGCACTTCATGCTTCCTTCTACAGACGAGCTTTATGGGGATGCTGACTTCATTTTCCAGCAGGACTTGGCACCGCCCACACTGCCAAAAGCACCAAAACCTTTTTCAATGACTGTGGGATTACTGTGCTTGATTGGCCAGCAAACTCGCCTGACCTGAACCCCATAGAGAATCTATGGGGCATTGCCAAAGAGAAAGATGAGAGACATGAGACCGAACAATGCAGAAGAGCTGAAGGCCACTATTGAAGCATCCTGGTCTTCCATAACACCTCAGCAGTGCCACAGGCTGATAGCTTCCATGCCACGCCGCATTGAGGCAGTAATTGCTGCAAAAGGGGCCCAAACCAAGTACTGAGTACATATGCATGCTTCTACTTTTCAGAGGTCCGATATTGTTCTATGTACAATCCGTGTTTTATTGATTGCATTGAATATTCTCATTTTCTGAGATTGTGGATTTGGGGTTTTCATGAGCTGTAAGCCATAATCATCACAATGATGACAAATCACGGCTTGAACTATCTTGCTTTGCATGTAATGAGTCTCATATATTAGTTTCACCTTTTAAGTTGCTGCACTGAAATAAATGAACTTTTGCGCAATATTCTAATTTTTCGAGTCTCACCTGTACACTTACAAAATGAAGCCAAACTCCAGCTTACGCTTTATCATCAGTTACATGAAATATTTTTTTTTGGAGATAAGAGCTGATCATTGCAAGCACCCCTGGCCAGTGGTCATTGGTTTGTCTCATTCCTGTGACTGCAAGAGAGCATTTCTGTTTAAAAACAACAGACTTGCGGGCTGGAGATTGAAAAAAAAAAAAAAAGAAAGAAGGCTTAGAAAAAGAAAACGAATGCAGCCGCCACACAAGAATTGGTAAGCTGCAATGTTTGCTTTTGGATTTGATTCCATTGTAATATGATGTATACTGTATCTCCGCACAGCAGGCCGGGGCGGGGTTCAGGTTTTGTGATCCTTCTTCTTGTCACAATACAGAGAATGCTGGGAGTTTTCTTATCAATATTTTTCACACCCGCTCCCTGACGCACACAATGCAAAGAAGGAGCAGGACAGGGAAGTCTGCATTCCACAACAATGTAACTATTTATAACAAAAGTGGAAATGATTTATTTCTCCTAAAGTGGAGATTTCACAATCTGACAGGTGAACTGACGATACAAAGGAGCAAAGTCACCCCTGTGACCTGGAGACCATCCTCCGGACTTTTTTTTTTACCTTTTGTGCCCAAATTACGAATTGAACAAAAAGCCCAGTTCCAATATTCCCAACACCTGGATACGCATTTTCCGTTTTTGCGCCTGCGCTTTTGCCACGTTTTTGAAGCGTTTTTTTTTTTCTTGTTGCTGGGCAGATTTAAAACACAAAATGCATCAAAAACAGGGCAAAAATGTAGCAAAAAAAAATACATGCTTTTCCATTGAAGTCTATAGAACCAAAAACGCAACTTTCTACGTTCAAAAAAGCCCCTGGCCCTTTTCTGAAAAATCACACCGGGTGAAAACGCGCAAATGTGAACCTGTCCCATAGGAAATCATGGTAAGTGGATTGTACTGCGTTTCTGCAAAGCACTGTGGAAAACGCTTAGGTGTGAACTTGGGCTATAGAACCAAAAACGCAACTTTTTGCACTCAAAAAAGTCCTTGACCCTTTCTGAAAATATGCACCGGGTGAAAACGCGCAAATGTGAATCTGTCCCATAGGAAATCATGGTAAATGGACTGTACTGTGTTTCTGCAAAATGCTGCAGAAAACGCTTAGGTGTGAACTTGGGCTGTAGAACCAGAAACGCAACTTTTTACGTTCAAAAAAGTCCCTGGCCCTTTCTGAAAAATTGAACCGGGTGAAAACGCGGAGATGTGAACCTGTCCCATAGGAAATCATGGTAAATGGACTGTACTGCATTTCTGCAAAACGCAGTGGAAAACGCTTAGGTGTGAACTTGGGCTATAGAACCAAAAACGCAACTTTTTGCGTTAAAAAAAGTCCCTGGCCCTTTCTGAAAAATCGCACCCGGTGAAAACGCGCAGATGTGAATTTGTCTCATAGGAAAATCGTGATAAATGAACTGTACTGCGTTGCTGCAAAACGCTGCGGAAAATGCTTAGGTGTGAACCTGGGGTTAAGGCATATTGCGCACACCCCTGAAGCACTTTGGGAATATGCAGGGGCGAACTGACCATTCAAGCACTCGGGCACTGCCCAAGGGCCCGGGGTCAGTAGGGGGCCCCATGAAATGCCCCTGGTACCTTTTATAGGCTTTTTTGGGTGTGGGCAAGGACACAGGGGCCCCATGATCCCCTATTGCCCGGGGGCCCCATGAGTTGTCAGTCCGCCCCTGGGTGTATGCAACCCTTGCAGTTTATCTTCCAGCATCAGCACTCCCCCTCCCTCAAAATGGCAGCCGGGATTTGTTCTGTATCACATTGGTGGCTGCAGCCATTGCTGTACAAGACAAATCTTCTAAGTCTCCATGATGCACACGAGACGTTTTGATAACGCTGGTAATGTTAGCTGTGTAAAGTCACGTTAAAAACATGAGTTTTTCAGCGTTTTTAGCATTTTTGCATTAATGTCTAGCGGCGTTTTCCCACGTTTGCATTTTTTAGCTTTTTTTTACCAAAAAAAACTATTTTTTTGTCAAAAACAAGTCCAAAAACGCCAATTTGTGGTGCTTTACTGCACTTTACCGTGTTTTTCAGCATTATAGCTGGACCAACTGTGGGTGTAGGATTATAACTTTTTTTTTTTTATGGTTGAACTGGATGGACTTTTGTCTTTTTTCAGCCAGACTAACTATGTAACTATATGTAACCAGGGGCGGACTGACCATTTGGAAACTCGGGCACTGCCCGAGGGCCCGGGGTCAGTAGGGGGGCCCATGAGATGCCCCTGGTACCTTTTTCATAGGCTTTTTTGTGTTTGGGTAAGGACACAGGGGCCCCATGATCCCCTATTGCCCAGGGGCCCCATGAGCTCTCAGTCCGCCCCTGTATGTAACTATAGCGTTTTTAGGCTCCATGTTCATGGGACAAGTCTGGAGGATAGAAACTGACTGCTGGAAAACGTAGGTTAAAAACCGGCTGTTTAGCCGCATTTGCATACCGCGTTTATTCGCGTTTGCATTTCGAAGCCTTTTTTTAAGATAACCTCAGACCTTCCAAAATGCCCAGAATGCACTGAAAAATAGTAAAAAATTAACTATATCAGACCTTTTGAGAGAAATAGAGAGAGCAGAAGCAGAGATAGAAGTATGTGTTGAGATGACCTGTCTTTTTTTTTTGTGGTGTTTGGATGTTCCGTCTCATTTCTGTGCAGAAATTATTGCAGCGGTGTCTAACATATTTTTTCTTTCATGTGAAACCTCAAAGTATGGTGTACCGGGTCCATCTGAGTACCGGGAACACGCTTTGCATGCATTATTCATGATGATAAAAGGCTCTGGACAGCATCTGGAAATGGAAGAATGGAAGGACACATAGGATAACATGCCGGGGATGGACACATAGGATAACATGCCGGGGATGGACACATAGGATAACATGCCGGGGATGGACACATAGGATAACATGCTGGGGATGGACACATAGGATAACATGCCAGGGATGGACACATAGGATAACATGCCGGGGATGGACACATAGGATAACATGCCGGGGATGGACACATAGGATAACATGCCAGGGATGGACACACAGGATAACATGCCGGGGATGGACACGTAGGATAACATGCCGGGGATAGACACGTAGGATAACATGCTGGGGATGGACACGTAGGATAACATGCTGGGGATGGACACGTAGGATAACATGCCGGGGATGGACACATAGGAGAACATGCCGGGGATGGACACACAGGATAACATGCTGGGGATGGACACATAGGATAACATGCCGGGGATGGACACATAGGATAACATGCCAGGGATGGACACATAGGATAACATGCCGGGGATGGACACATAGGATAACATGCCGGGGATAGACGCGTAGGATAACATGCCGTGGATGGACACATAGGAGAACATGCCGGGGATGGACACACAGGATAACATGCCGGGGATGGACACATAGGAGAACATGCCGGGGATGGACACATAGGATAACATGCCAGGGATGGACACATAGGATAACATGCCAGGGATGGACACATAGGATAACATGCCGGGGATGGACACATAGGATAACATGCCGGGGATGGACACACAGGATAACATGCCGGGGATGGACACATAGGATGACATGCCGGGGATGGACACACAGGATAACATGCCGGGGATGGACACACATAGGATAACATGCCGGGGATGGACACGTAGGATAACATGCCGGGGATGGACACACATAGGATAACATGCCGGGGATGGACACGTAGGATAACATGCCGGGGATGGACACACAGGATAACACGCCGGGGATGGACACACAGGATAACACGCCGGGGATGGACACGTAGGATAACACGCCGGGGATGGACACGTAGGATAACACGCCGGGGATGGACACGTAGGATAACACGCCGGGGATGGACACATAGGATAACACGCCGGGGGATGGACACATAGGATAACATGCCGGGGGGTTTACTGGCTTTAGAGAAAAAACTCAAAAGCCAACAACAAAATATGTGATTGTTCCTCCTGCGCTTAATCGATGTACCTATAACCAATGTAAAAGCTGCTAGCACCCAAACCCTTTACTCAAAGGTATAAATAAACAACATAAACTATAATATGGTGCAGCGCTAAAAAACTAAAATATAAATGAATCTAAAAGATATATAAATATATATAAATATATAGACACACAATAATGTGAAAATATAGGTCATAAAAATGGACCCTTATACAAAGTGAGAACAACAAACTTCCCGATCCCAAAAATGGGATAATATTCACACACCAAACATGTAAAAAGTGAATCCCAGTGATGGGATAATCGTATATCAAATACCAAAGTGACAAGTGCTCATCCAAAACTCATACAATATTCACATGTGAATTTCAACAAATCCATAGAAAAAAATGAAAAAAAAAATATATATATATACAGTGAAAAAATAATCATAAACAAAAATGTCCGATAAATTCCAATAAAGTGCAGAAAAAAATCCCCCACATCTAAGGTGCTTCGCTATTCATTGGACGTGAAGAAATGGTGCCTTGTGTTGTGCGCACGAAACAAATCCTACAGTGGCTAAAATGCCCCCTCACCTCCTTTACCCCCTTCCCGCTGGCGCAGGGGCGGACTGACCATTTGCAAAAAAAACTCAGACACTGCCAGAGTGCCCGGGGTCAGTAGGGGGCCCCATGAGATGCCCCTGGTACCTTTTTGATAGGCTTTTTTGAGTTTGGGCATGGACACAGGGGCCCCATGATCCCCTATTGCCCGGGGGCCCCATGAGTTGTCAGTCCGCCCCTGCGCCGGCACCTCCCGGCCCTTTAAGAGTTTCAGAAGCCGGGAGGCGGGACGGGCGGGGTTTAGGGATCATGTGACCGCTGTGACGTGACATCACGGTGGTCACATAATCGGGAAAGGTCCCGATCGAAAGAGGAGACCGGGACCTTTCCGTGAGTACTGGACATGTGTGCTGGGAGTGGGCCGAGACCCAGACGCCGGGCGGCCGCACATTTGAGTTCGGCCGGCGTGAAGAGGTTAAATGACCCTATGGGCCAATGCGCCTTTTGGATCACACCAGAATCCTACATGGTTAGGACCTCCTTGCTATCCGACCTCCACAAACAGCATAAGGATGTTCCCCTTCCCTGGATAGGTAGGCAGGTGACCTTCCAACTGCCAACGTACTCACATGTGGTCATGCGTGGCTCTCTCAAGTTCTGGAGGACATGCTGGATTAGGAGGTTTAAAAGGTTCAGATTCTTTGTTTTTCTCAAGAGGAAGTTTTATTATCTGTTCCTCTTTTTTGCGTTCGGCCGGCGTGAAGAGGTTAATTGACCCTATGGGCCAATGCGCCTTTTGGATCACACCAGGATCCTACACGGTTAAGGTCTCCTTGCTAGGAGGTTTTATTCTGTTCCTCTTTTTTTTGGTTTCCTGCAGCATCTTACTGCACTGATCAGCTGAGGCAAAGACAGAAAGAACAACATCTTAGTTGCCTCAGCTGATCAGTGCAGTAAGATGCTGCAGGAAACCAAAAATAAGAGGAACAGATAATAAAACCTCCTCTTGAGAAAAACAAAGACTCTGAACCTTTTATACCTCCTAATCTAGCATGTCCTCCTGAACTTGAGAGAGCCACGCATGACCACATGTGAGTACGTTGGCGGTTGGAAGGTCACCTGCCTACCTATCCAGGAAAGGGAAACATCCTTATGCTGTTTGTGGAGGTCGGATAGTAAGGGGGTCTTAACCACCTCCCGTCCGGCTGTTGTATATAAACGGCCAGACGGTGGCAGTGCAGGGGCGGGTGGTTGTTTATAAACGTCCTCCCCGCCCCCTGCTTGTGCGCGCTCCCTGAGAGCACGCAGCACAGCAATCCGGTGCCCGCTGTGTCCTCCGGACACAGTGGAAAACTGATCGACATACGGGATCTCTGTGCGAGGTCCCGATCATGTGATCACTGATTGGCCAATAGAGTAGTAAGCAAGATGTCACTTCTGACATCATTGCTTACTACGTGTGAAATCTGTGAATGATCACTGAGATCACATGGTACAGGGCTATTCTCAATAGCCTTGTACCATGTGACAAACTGTGACCAATCACAGCTCACACAGTAGTTCTCAATGGCTGCAAGAATGCAGCCAGAGAGGAGAAATGATTGCTTTTACAGCCTTTATGGGTACGCTTTTACAGCCTTTACCCTGCGCTAGGGTATTTCCGTTAGACTCCCGCTTCCCTGTCCGAACATAGATCCAAGGACACCACCGCTGACCATACAAGACGAAACAGCACCAGACTTGTCTTAAAACAGGAAATAGACGGCTTTATTTTAACATAGATACAAGATATATACACAGGGCGGGGAAATAAAACCAGTAACAGGAAACACATCAGAAGGCTGTCCCATCAGGGGGAAGGGCTGCCAGAAACACCCTCACCAAGCCAGTACAAACATGTATATCCCATAATCCTTTGCTCCCAAGCAAGACACACAATAGAACAATGGGACCACCTGGCAGTAAACTATGAACAACCCCCCACGCCCCACCTATACATGTCTACACAATATCAGGACATTCCACCCTGTACCCCTAACAGGCACAGGGTGACTTACACATAATAGGGATATGGGGAGCTGAGACAGGGGTCTCCCCACCTCTCCAAAGGGGGCTGTGTTCCATGGGCCCCCCACCCAAAGTCACTCCTGTCACAACTTTGTATAAGGGTCCATTTTTATGACCTATTGGTTCATTTCACTATTTGCACTATATAGCACTTTGTGATCGATCCCTGTAGGATCTCTTATATTTTCACATTATTGTGCACAGGGGCGGACTGACCATTCGAGCACTAGGGCACTGCCCGAGGGCCCGGGGTCAATAGGAGGCCCCATGAAATGTCCCTGGTACCTTTTTTATAGGCTTTTTTTGGGTGTGCTTTCAGTGTGGGCAAGGACACAGGGGCCCAGCGGCGGACTGACCATTTGAAAACTTGGGCACTGCCCGAGGGCTCAGGGTCAGTAGGGGGCCCCATGAGATGCCCCTGGTACCTTTTTCATAGGCTTTTTTGAGTTTGGGCAAGGACACAGGGGCCCCATGATCCCCTATTGCCCAGGGGCCCCATGAGTTGTCAGTTCACCCCTGCAGGGGCCCCATGATCCCCTATTGCCCGGGGGCCCCATGAGTTGTCAGTCTGCCCCTGATTGTGTGTCTATATATTTATATATCTTTTAGAGTCATTTATATTTTAGTTTTTTAGCGCCGCACCATATTATAGTTTATATCGTTTAAAAGCCAAAAACAGCCGCTGTAAAAACATTCCATGTGCAGGAGGACAAAGGAAAATAATTTTTTTTTTGGTAAAAAAAAAACGCTAAAAAACGCGGGAAAACGCAGCTAAACGCAACTAAACGCCAATGCAAAAAACGCTAAAGAAAAGCCAAAAAACTCTTTACACAGCTAACGTTAGCGGCGTTATCAAAACGTCCCGTCGGCGTGAGGTCATGAGTTTCTAATGATGTTTTTTTTATTTCCATCCTTTTCATCTGCCTTGTTTATTTTTATGGTGCATTTAAAAAAAATTGTGCGTAATAAAAGAAAAAGACAACTTTATTTTGTTTGTAAAAATACTTGTTCCAGAATCATAGAGGAACTATAAATTGGACAAATCATAGAGAAAAATAAATACTTTTTATTTTCAGTAACTCGTATTATAACTATGACATGAAAACACAGACAGAGGAGGGCGCCATCTAAGTGCAGCATTAGAACATTGATTGTCTGATATTGGCTTGACAACGAGGCGAGAATATATATAAACGGACACTTGCGCTCAGAATTTAAACAACAAGAATGAATAAAAGCAGCTGCACATTTGAAGGCAATAATAGGAAATAAATAGATAAATGCAGCGCTAATGATATAATTGTCTATATAAGTTGCCAAATGAATGGAAATAGGTGCATAAGAGGAAAAGTTCGATCCAAAAGCCATCACCATACACCCAAACAAAGGTCAGTCAGCATGAGCCGTGTGATATATCGTCATGTGTGGCAATCGATCATCAATAGAGATCCCCTTCCAGGATAATAAGTAACTTCTCCAACTTCAATAAACCTCCAACTGGCAGAAACTCCCAACAGATGGTAAGGGAATCACACTGCTCATGTTGACCCAATGAGGCACAATTCCTCCTAATGACACCAATGATGGAGCACTATTCCTCCCAATGACACCAATGATGGGGCACTATTCCTCCCAATGACACCAATGATGGGGCACTATTCCTCCCACTGATACCAATGATGGGGCACTATTCCTCCCACTGATACCAATGATGGGGCACTATTCCTCCCACTGA